GACGCACGGCCACCACAGCCACGCAGCTGCTTCAACCAAAATGAACCGAGCCTAAACAAGGCCATCACACACGGCTCCCGAGCCACAGTACAGTCCCTGAAAGGCCGCCCAGGGCAGAGGCTGCTTGTCAGTCAGGGCAGACACAGAAGGTTCTTCCAGGCAGTGCTGGGCAGGAGCAGCGACGCCCACATCAAACCCCAGCTTCCCCACTTACGGAGGGCACGTCGTCGTCTTAAAAACTCCCGGAAACACCACTGCCACCCTGTGTCACTCCCTGGACAGGTGTCTCTGGAAGGTCCTCTGTAGGAATGGCACCGTGCTGGGGACAGTGGTTACATAACACACAACTGGTCCCCGTCCCGTACACAGCTTGGGTGGGCTCACGCCCACCTCTCAAGGGCCCCCACACCCGTGGTCTCCTGGGAAATAAACCACTGAAGCCAGAAAGAGCCACTCACCACTTTGAGCTCTGGCACCGATCGACTCAACGTCCACTCCTGGCTATTCACGAAGGCATCTGCAAGAGAAGACAGAGGCAAAGTCAGGCTGCGGCCCCCTCCGGCGCGCATCGGTGCCCGGCATGCCAGCTTCCACCAGAGGGACACTGCGGGGCTGCAGACCGGCCTTCCAAGTTACTCCCTCCCACCCCAGGGGGGCCACGGTTTACCCAGCTCAGCCAGGCGCCGGTGGGCGCTTTCACCAGCCAGCGGCTCTGGGGGCCTGCAAGCTGGGCCTGGCTCTCTGCAACAGACCCTCTGCAACAGACCCAGTCTCAGGCAGCTGTGATTTGCAGACTTTCTGCTAAACAGTCGCTTTTCTGAGATCCCACCCAAAAAGCTTCGAGGATGGTGAGTGTGGAAACCTAGATGCTGCAGACAGGCGGCACTCAGGTCTGGAGCACTCTGCTGGGTGCCGGAGTCTTGGCCAGGGAGAGGAGGGGACCTGGACCTGGGGGGCTCTTTGAAGTGGTGCTTGCTCCCCACCCAGGAAGCTCACTCGGGTAGCTCTCCTGACCTGCCCAGCAGAGATGACCCCACTGGGGGGTCCCCTGGCCTGCCCAGTACAGATGATCCTCCACTGGCCATAACCCGTGGTAAGCAGGATCCCACAGTCGCACCCACGTGGCGGCTCCCTTGGCCACTCAGAGCCGGGGAGGCAGCAGCCGGACGCAGGCCATCTCTTTCAATGGGATGCCCTCTCCAAACGTTTCCCCTAATGTTGAAATCCGCTCACCCTGCACTGTCCAAAAGTTGTCAAGTCCTTCAAAAAATGCCCCAAGGGCAAGAAAAGCCATCCCTTTCAACCAGATGTGCCTGGCCCGCAGTCCCCTTAGGAGAAGGATGGAGAAAGGCCAGGCCGGCTTGGCCAGGCAGGCCAGCACCCATGGTCTATGGGGTGTGGGAGGGCACCCACACCACTGCCACTGTCCCCCAGAGCTGAGGGCTAGGACGCCCATCAAAGGGAGACCCTGCTTGTGGGAGGAGCCGATGGAGAAGACAATAGCCTGCCAGGGGCATCTAGTGACTCTCAAGGTCACTGAGCTGGCAGGGCTGAGCTCAACAGCAGAGGCACGGGCTGTGGGGCACAGAGTCCAGCAGGTGGTGGGTGGGCAGAGGTCTGTAAGGAAGCTGGAGAGATGGGATGCCTGGGAGGTGGACTTGTCCCAGCACTGCCTTCAAGATGTCCAGTCCACACTCCCCCCATGGAAGCAGACAGGGTGGGGGCTGACGATGGGGGGAGCAGTTCAACTGTGCTCTTCCACACCCACTCCATGGTGGCCGCACACCACCGGAGCACGCCCAGGGATCAGCTGGGAACCATGAAGTGTGGACCACGACAGCACAGGCCTGACCTCAGGGGATGGTAACTAAACATCGGTCACCAACTGCTCTCAGGGAAACGAGAAGGCAGCCTCAGATGACGGGCAGGGAGACAGAAGGTAATGACAAGGACTCTCCGAATGCATGTACCAAGCGTCCAGCTGCTCAGAAAGTCCCCCTGTGGCTCTGCTGTTAAAGACCTCAACAACGGTCAAGTGAACCTGGATGTACTCCTGAGATGGACTACTAATTAAGAAAACAAGACAACTGAGTCCAGCAGGTGGTGGGGGGCAGAGGTCTGTAAGGACTTCCGCATACTGAGGTGGAGTCAGCCCACAATCTCCAGGCTCCACTAGGTGGTGAGAGCAAGACCCACACAGTCTAGTCAGCGTTACAGTGTGCGGAGTGTGTGCGCACAACACACACGCCTGAGAAGACACTGGTAAAATCACAATTGCCCACTTAGGTGAGGGAACTGGTGGCTGGGGAACAAGAGTAAGGAGACGACATTCATCGTGACCTCTGGGACTCTGATTCAGATTTTTACGCCATTTGGCATAAACGTTAAGTTACAGTAGGCCATGTGGCCGGCAATTCCGGCTCCTCAGGAGACTGAGGCAGGAGGATCTCAAGTTTGAGGCCAACCTGGGCAACTTAGCAAGACCCTGACTCTAAGTTTGCAAAAGGGTTGGGAACATAGTTCAGTGGTAGAGCACCTCTGGGTTCAATCCCTCTTACAAAACAAACCAAAAAAAACCTGAAATACAATTTTAAAAATGAATCTTAATAGTAGAACAAAGAGGATAAAGGGTGAATTAAAAGAGCTCACTTCATTAATGCACTGCTGATTTTTAAGCATGTACCACCAGATTAAATTTATCACAACAAATATTAAATATGCATTATAAATGAAGCGGGGCTCCGTTAAACAAAGACATATGATTATATAAATATTGGAACATGGTGTGGCAAGCTTTTAGTTGCAAATTTACCCTCACTTGAATAGAGTATGTTTTTCTTTGTGGCAACTAGATTAATAAAATAAATGCTTGACTTCATGTTCCCCACCAAAGCCCTCAACTTCCATTAAAATGCCCTTATTTCAAGAACGTGCCTGGCCTCTGTCAGGGCCCACTCAGAGTGGGATGGTGGTGTGAGGCTCAAGGAGAAGCAACCAAAGACCTGGGGAAAGCCCTACATACCAGATGCTTTCTCTGCCTGCTCCTGTGGGGACACTTCCTGGCCAGTCACCACAGGGATTGGGGGTCCCAGGACAAAGGAAGCATGGCCCGGCCCCGAGACTCCATCATGTGGAGGATGAGGCCAGCTGCCCTACTTCACTCTGAGCCCCAAGGTGCAGCTGCACAAAACATGCTTTAGGAACACACCTGGGCGTGTGTGCGTGCATGCACTGTCTGCACACATGTGTCCCTGGTCAGCCAGGCCACAAAGTGACAGAAGCAGCCCTGGTTTTCAGAAGAGGCCATTCCATGCCCCATCAATGGCATGAAATATGAAGAAAGTGGCTCCCAGACTCTGGTCTAAGTACCACTGGACTAGATTCCATCGTAAGGCACAGCAGATGACCTCTGACTGCCTGCTTTGAGCCCTTTGACTCACAGGGAAGCCCAGAGCTGCCGGTGGTGCTGGGCGCCTTGGGCCACAGGCTACCTGGAGGTGCACGGGCTTTCCTGAGCAGTTTAGGACCAGGTACTTGGTCCTTCCATCAGTGTGGCATGACTTCCAATGCACTTTGGGTCTCAGTGCTGGAGATGGAACCCACAGCCTCACGTACACCAGGCCAGTGACCTACCACTGAACTCCATCCCCAGCCTTCCAGTTACGCTTGGTCATTTAAATTCAAACACAAGCTCTTGAACAACTCCAAGAGTACAGAACACGGAATAATACGCCACCCTTATCAGGAGTGAAGTCCTGATCTCCTTGTCCCTTTGGGTCAGAAGCTTGATGGCAGTCAGAGAAAACAAAGAGGAGACGGGTGCACTGAGCCCACAGGGACCCGGCCCAAGGACAGGGGTGGGGACACCTAGGGATGGCCCAGTCGCCAAACGCTGGGGGAAATGTTCTCCGTTAGAGGGAGATGCTCCACCTGATCTGGTGAGCAAGACATCTGATGTCGAAGGAAAGCCCACCAAGGCCCTGTCGGACTGTCCTGGCCACAGAACCCCTCACAGTGCAGTGCCTGTTCCACGCCTAAGAAAGCCCAGCGACAAGTGCTCAGCCACCAGAAGGGCTCCTTCACAAAGACCCCCACCTGCCACCATGCACCAGGAAACACAGAATTCAAACATCGGGGGGAGGGACTCCCAGGTCTTGAGTAGGTTTTCTTTCTAACTTGTATTTTTTTACAACAAACTTTCATTAGTAAGTTTTGTTTGTTTTTCCTTTTCTGTGCTGGAGATGAAACCCAGGTCCTCACACGTGCCAGGCAAGCGTCCTACGCTGAGCTAAGCGTCCACGCCACCCATTGTCCTCCAACCCTGTTTGCAGCCGTCACTCTGTGACCCTTAGCGAAGCATCAGTGCTGCAGCCTGTCCTCCTTCTCACTCACTCCAAGCCCCAAGTGAGAATGATGTAGGGACAAACAGGAATCCACTGGGATAAGGAATTTCAGTTGAGCCAATTCATCAGGGACCCTGTTACCAGTGCGTGTGTGGTGGGAAGGCTGGCGTTACAATAATAAGGGACATGCTCTACCTCCCTCTGGTCCTGCCCCAACCCGTCCCAGGGACATCAATGCTCCAGACAGGTGTGGAAGGGCGTCCTTAGATAGCCTAAGGAGCACAGTGCAGGAAAGTCTCTGGGCAACTCAGGCGAAAATGTGATACTTCCATCACAATCTGTCTGGTTTATGGACGAAGTAATTAAGCAATGAGAAACCAAAGCCTGTGAGCACCTCAGAAGGAACTGCCTCTGTACATGGCATGCTGGGCGAGGCGCAGAAACAGCAGCGTCCCCTCTTCTGTGGCTGAACATGGTGGTTCTGAGGATCATTTCCTGAGAGCCACTTTGCCAGGTCCCCAGGCCCCACAGTAGTTCTCAGGGCCACCCCACTGCCCCAGATGGCACAGTCGCCTGGGAAGGGCCCCCAGCAGGGCCAGGTTCTCAGTGCCCCCTCTTCACCTGCCCTGGGCTCCTCTGGACACCTTGCAAAGCCACAGGAGACGTCTGTGAGACTCAGCAATCGGGGCCCTGGAATCTGCATTTCAACAAGCCCCACCGGCCTCCGAGGCTCCTCATTATGACCCTGTGGACCTCACAAACACAGACCAGGACATCAGGATTTCTCAGGGAACCTAAGAGAGGACAGGCAGACCTGGCAGGTGGCACCACGAGGTGGGAGCCAACGGTCCTGGGTCTTAAACTCTGCCCACCAGGAGAGCCCTGCTTCTCTTGGCTGCCCTGGTCACTGATGCAGAGACACCAGGAGTGGGCAGAGGAGAATCAGTGAGGGAGCAGGGACCAGGAGGCCCAGGCTTGTTGGTGACCTTGGGTGACCTTCCTGGTCTTTCTGAGGCCCAGCTTCTTCGTGCTAGACAGGAATGGTTCTCTCCTGTGAACGCCATGAGGTTTCTCGGAGAGGCGGTGGCCCCCAGAAAGGGCCCGCCTATCCACGGGGAGCGTCACCGACGGCGAGGCTCCTGATGCCTGCTTCCCAAGTGCCCTGGCTGACGGA